CCCTCAGTACTGACCCTCTGACAGTGCGGCACTCCCTCAGTACTGACCCTCTGACAGTGCGGCACTCCCTCAGTACTGACCCTCTGACAGTGCGGCACTCCCTCAGATGGTCTGAAATATATTGAATGGTCTCTGTGAGGTACGAGTGTTTTTTGCTGAGTTTGTTCTGGAAGGTAAACGCTGCAAAAACAGGAATTTGCCGTCATGTCTGTGATGGATGGAGCCTGGGACTGTGATCCTGTGGATCTGTGATCCAGGGCGTGTTGCTACTTGTGTTGGAATTCCCTTTAATGGTGTAACTTTCTATTTGAGCCAGGTAGCTGGGGACTGGGTCAAAGGTTATTGAAAGCTGCCCTTCATTTCAAATCTCATTCTCTTCACCAAACAGTAGCCGGCCTGCTCTAATCGGCTGGAAGTTTATGTTAACCAGACGAGACACTGTAATGTGGGATAATCCATTTCCTGCTGACAGTATTTAGTCTGATTCCTCTGTTTGGCTGAGCCTGGAGAGTGGAACTGAATGGATTGTGTTTCTGTCCCCGTGAGGTTTCTGATTGCAATTTGTGGTCAGTTTATGATCTAGACATCGCTGACTGCACAATATCCTGCAAGGGAACAGGAAATAGTTAGAAATGCATGGAGCACATGGATGAAATCAATCTGCTAGGCAGCATATGACGGAATTTCTGCTCACCCTGTGTGTGCAGCATCAAACTCCGTCCAGTGTAATTCCTCACAAAATCATTCAGAAACTTCTAAATTGCCCTTTGGAGTTCAGGCAGAGCACGGTGAAATGTTTGTAGTTTACAAAGTTCTCAGGTCATCCTGGTATCGATCACCCACCCCCCTCCACAAGATGATCCTCATTGACAACCCAGGGGTTCTGGGGTCACTCAGCCCATCGAGTCTGTTCTGTGCTTTAGGTCAGATTATCGCGGGTCTGTAGCCTGCGTCTGATCACTGTCCCTAATCTTCCCCAATGGAAACACTGATCTCATTCTGAAGAACTCCAGTTGCCATGAGTCTCATGTCTTTGGCGGAGAGAGAGTTTCAGATTTACTCTCGGTTTGGCCTCATAAACAGGGCCCTGCTCTCACTCTGTTGAAAAGTGTAAGGTGGAAGCTTGCTATTGGACACTAAGGGAGCTCGGTATTGGGCAGTGCCGGAGCTCGGTATTGGGCAGTACCG